CCTGCTGAAACCCCCCCCTCCCCGGCTGGGAACACCACCAGGAAAACCCCCAGTACCATTGCCATGAACCACTGTGTTTCCCACAGGACAGTCTGCATCTTCTGTGCACGTTGCATCGAGAACAGAGGGGCTCTGAGGGAGACAGAGATGCGCTGTCACTGCACTGGGCAGCACCTCAGGCCACCTGCTCATTCACCCACCTGTCCCAGCTGCTGCTCCTGCTTCTCCAAGCACGTTCCAAACATCTACAGATGACACATACTACATCCAGAACCTGGGCAGCTTCCAGGCAGTGAGGAGAGAGGCATCTCTGAGGGACAGTCCCCATGCTCTCTGTGGCACTCACCTCCCCTGCCATGGTGGCACAAGAAACTTCATAAGGTGGCTTGGAACTTTTGACTGGGAACAAGCAGAGTTTGGGAAGGCCATAATGGCAGGGACCACTGAGCACCTTGTAAAGCACCAGCACAATTCAGAAAGGGCATAAGAGACCCCAAATACAGCATAACACAAGTTTTACATGAGACACAGGGAAAGCTTCACCCTCACTCTGGATTCACCCGAATGCCAAAAGCAGCAAAAAGCTCCTAGTGAAACAGAGAGGATGGCAGGTGGGGGAACATGAGCAACACCCTCCCCTAGCTACTCCCAGGCCATCACAGCAGCCACTAGCCCATCAGAAACCCACTTCCCCAAGCCCAGGGAGGGCTAGAACACCAAAGGCAGGTGTGGAAACCCCAGTCATGCAGTCAGGTGGGGATTCTGTCCAGGCTCCCCTATGACAGCCTCAGCCCCTTGGTTCAGGTGTGAAACCCACCACAATGATCTGAGAGGAACAGCTCTGAAGCACTTTATGGCTGGGGGAAGGGGTGCACTGTCTAGAGGTATGAGAATCATTATGGGATGCAGGAGAAGAGCATTTTGGGATCACACAGGACATTTAGGGGATGCAATGTTTAGGGAAGAAAGAAAAGACATGGTATGGGAGGAATTTAGGTGAGCTGAGAAGGAACAAACATTGGAAAATAGATGGATAAAAGCATGCAAAGGGTTGGTTGCATGTGAAGAGCTGCCCTGCAGCACAGTCTGTCCTGTCTTTATAATAACCTCCATTTCTAGATATTCCCCTGGACCAGAGGCTCTGCTCTGTGTGCTTGCGTGTGCATGGGGGACTGAGTGTCACCAGCTGGACTGGCACCAGCAATCACAGGTGCCTGGGTGTCACCAGCAGGCATGTACATAAAGACCTGATTCTCAGCAAATGTCAGGCTGGGTGAGCCAGCAAGGAGGTGGCCTGGGGTCAAAGAGGGGTGTCTAAGGGGAAGCCTGCAGAAGCTGATTGCTGGAGGGACCCAGGAGTCCTGCCCAACCCAGAGAGGTGGCAGCAAGGTTCATAACCCTGATGGATTTGAATCAGGAGCCACCGATGGGCCCCTCATGTCTTGCAGGACCCATCTGCAACGCTGTTACTACAGCTCTTATGAGAGCACTTTGCCAACCTGGATCACAGCACATGTCAGAGATTCAACCTCCAGAAGTACCCAGACAACAGATATTTGCAGATAAGTGTGACAAATATATGCAAATGAGTTACTCTTCCCCAGTCCAGGCAACAAGACATAAGTGCCACTTGACAGACAGACCCTTCTGAGTGTTCAGGGCAGGTAAGCTACAAAGCTGAGGAGAAATTAGTGTACTGAAGTCTGTGATGGTATTACAGAAAACCTAAAACCCGGCCAAGAAGGTTTTGACCTCCCCTACCAGCTTTTAGTGGAAATGAGCCTTGAAAAATCTGTTGGTGCTGACATTCTCCAGAGGCAGGATCCAAACCAGGTCACATGAGCCCCAAGTGCCTTGTGAGAGAAGCAGAGAGAGACTCAGGTAAAAGCCATCACAGGGCCCTGGACCTGTGCTCCTAAAGCTCTCCCAACCATTGTTGTAGCTTGGTTGTGTCAGGGTCTAAAAACTTGGGAAAATTAGGAGTAACAATTTTTTCTAGGAACGTACTCAAGAACTGCAGGCTTGGGACAGGAATATGAGCACACCAGCATTTAGAAGAGGTTTCTTGACAAGCAGGTGCACTACTACATATTTGCAGAAGACACCTCCCAATGTGCTCACAGCAGAGCTCAGATGCCAAAGAATTTGGAGCATTTGTGTTCCTAGGACAGGGGTTATTTCAGAAAGGGGCAGCACAGACGTGTTTGTGTTGATAGTGAAGACCAGTGCACAAACTCTTGGAACCTAAGGGCTGAAAGGTTTATATTTAATTTCTCTACCCATGTATTTGTGGTTACAGAATTACTTTAATCTTAGAAAAAACTGCTGATTGCTAGCCTTTGACAGCTATCCAGCCATCTGACATGGGCCAGGAAGCAAAATGAACCTTCTTGGAGAGCAAACCACCAGCAGCATCACCTGTGAGCACAAAAGAATGAGGTCTCTCCCACAGTCTAACACTTCCCTTAGAATATAGTCCTGTGTGGCTGGGACTGGTGCCGCTCATGTGCTCACTCACCAGCAGCATCTGGACCTAGAAAAGCTGAGCATAGCTGGAGGTGCTAAAGACAATAATTTAAGAGAAATGATCTCTTAGCCCAGAGCTGAGGCACTGGCTGGTATCTGCCTTCTGGCATGAAGTTTATTTTTATAATCTTCTTTAACCTTCAGAGTGTCTTGCAGAGGGTTTCTAACCACTCAAAGAACTGGAGATCAACATTGGAAGGTCTCCCTAGGAGATACACCACAGCTCAGACACAGATCTCAGCTTAACACAGACATCAGCTGCTGAAGCAACCTGGCCTGTGTTTGGTTGCTGCCTCTGGCCCCAGCTGGACTTTCCCCTGGTCTGCTAGAATACTTTGAGAATATTCAGGATTTCCTGCAAAGTCAAAAGCTGTCACTGTGAAATCTTCAAAGTTTTTCCTACATTTGGTTCCTCAAAGCCAGGAACTGAGAAACTACTGGAGAGCAGGACAGGGCAAAGACTGACAGCACCAAAACACACCACGGCACTGTCATGGGATTAAATGCTCCCCCCTCTCTGCATCCATGGCTTGCACACTTTAAAATTAAGCACCTGGAGATGTCAGTGACTGCCTGTGAGAAAGCCCTGAAATGCTTTACAGCACGAGCCTCCTCCTGGGGAGGTTCCTGCAGCCATCAGTACTTTCGGAGTTCTCAACATTTAAAAGAGGGATCGTTAGTAGCATTTTGCCTAATTCAAAACCAGGATTGCACCTCTGCAGCCTTTGGGCTGCATTTGCAGAGCCACCCAGCCTAGCCCCTGCAGAACAGGGTGAGCTTGGTGCCAGGGTCAGGCTGGGCACAGCCCAGCTGGCCACAGCCAAAGGGACTATTAGGACAAACAGTGCCTGGCTCAGGCACAAGGTGACAGCCACGGCTCAGCTTAAAAGGCATTTGCTCCTGTCTGCCAAGCAGGGTACAGCATTGGGGGGGTTCAGCTGAGGAGCTGGCCTGAATCCAGCCTTAAGAGAAAGATTTCTCCCAGAGAACTTATACAACAAAGTGCTGGTTGACTCAGAAACCACTTAGACCTTGTGCTCAGTTCCTCCTAAAAATAGGACACTAAGATGGGGAGGATACTGGTCCTGCAGCAGAGAGTTATAAAGGCAATATGACACAGGTATCCACGGAGCATGCGTAAAAGCGTCGGGAAAAATGGCAGAACAAAGGTAAAATAAAAAAAAAATAATAAAAAAAGGAGCAGCAAGCCAAGAAACCACGAATACATGTGAGACTCGAGAAGGAACACAGGGAACAGGGATGGCAGGGACACGGCAGCACTGATGCCAGCTGCAGAGGTGATGGGGCAACACAGCTCAGCCTCCCCAGATCAGCCCTCATCCAAAAGCAGAGAAAGCAAGCCTGCAAAGTGCCACCATCCCTCAAGAACCCCTGAGAGCTGGCAAGGGCCCAAAAGACATGTCCTATGTCCTAGTCACCACAAGTGACTCCAGACAAACCACTTGGAAACACATCTTGGTTCATGCAGGGTCAGAGCACGTGTAAATGACTAAGATGTGTGGAGCAATGAGAATGAAGGAATCACCTTTGTTTGAAATAAAAAACCAACATTATTTCCTTCTGTCTGGCCTTGCACTGGGTTTTTCCAGGTTGCTGCACAGCTTACAGAGCAGCAGCACTGCCTGCTTTTATAACTCTAACCCAGGGAACAGCGTAGCTCACTCACCTCGGGACAGGTGCCCTGGGCTTGCTTGGCGGTGGCAATGAAATTGGTCACCAGGAAGAGCACGTTTTCTCCCTAGGAGGCAAGAAGGCACCTTCAGCACCCTGACACTCCCCGGCAGCACAACAAACAACATTTCTTTTCCTTTTCTGGCTTTGCAGCTTGCTTTCCCAAAGAGTCTTCCCTCAGGTTTTGCGACCCCCCTTCCCCCCGGGCCGGGTCCGCCCGTACCTGCGGGGGCCGGGCCTGATCCACCGCGTCCCACAGCCGCCGGCCCGCGGGCCCCCCCCCCGCCCACCCGCCCCCCCTCC